CGTTTACAATATTATTCAAAACGTCGCTAACGAGACGGCAGGAAAGCGTAAGACAAATTTATGAAAGCTAGAATTTTCATTCTAGTTATTCTTTTCTTGTACACTGCACTATCCTCGGATTTTTCATTTTTCGATGCAATTTTTCATTCACTTGTAATCAATTACCGTGACCCTCCTTTCCTTCTTTTTACGCGTTTACTGAAATATCTCAACGACTACGTTTCATTTGACTTCACGCAGTCGCATTGGCTGACACTTTGATTATACCTCCAGCTGTTACCGGGCCCTTTAATTGAATTCTTGGGTAACGAGCCACCGGAAATGACGGCCGGACGATAATCCTGTAAGTTTCCAAGAAAAATAAGTCGCCAGAAATAAGAATGACATTTTAAGCAATTAAAATGCTCCTTACTCCGTCCAGTCGTATAATTTTAGGACTAAATTTTTTTTTCTACGCGCTCTTCCCCTTCTTTTTCTCTTCTCGACGATAAGAGCCAAAATCTGTTACCTTAATTCACAGTGGTTAATTACGAGAGATAATCAAAGCCTCCTTTCATGTTGCTAATTAAGCTATAACAGAGAAGCTGGAGCTTTTCCGGATTCTGAGGGAAGTTCGACAGCCGAAACTCAGTTCGGTTCTACCGGATATCCACTCTGAGCGTCTATAGCTATACATATACTACCTATGGTAGATTAAACCTCGTAATTCGGATTACTGCAGGAGAGTTCTGTCAGCAGATGCAACCTAGATCGCATATCAGGCTTAATGCGCTTTATGACCCGGTTTCTAGCTGAATGATTATAATATATCCTTTAAAGGGCAAGGGATGTGTTAAGCATGATAGAGGCGTGGATATTTACTCAAAATTTATTAAATTGATACTAACTCGTGTTAATTATAAAAATGTAAGCGTGTAAATCATAAAAAAATTTCACGTAATTAGGTCTCCCTAAGTACGTCAAGAATACGATTGAATTTTACATAAGCTGCAAAAAGAAATGATAAATGGATTTAATCACAGATTATAACTTTAAACTGGAGAAAAGTAATGATTTTACTGCGGAAATAATAGATAGCTGTATCTATAATCAGTCGAATGATTAATTACAACGCTTCTAATCCAACAACAGATAATTAGTCGATTATAAGTCTTTTCAAATTTACCTTTATTATCCAATAGAATACTCATTTATTCTTTGTAATCGCAAATTCCCGATATTACCCTATTACGTATAATATACTTAGAATGTAATGGTTCAGAAGATCCGCCGACCACGAATTCAGACTGACGGACGTGGCTTGATTGCGCGCATCTTTCGTTTTGCCTTGCCTGTTATACTCTCTGCATTCTCGCCGCCTTTGTCCGCGTATAATTAAATTTTAAATTGCGCAGCACGGCCAGCCGTCGGATGGTTGTGGCCAGAGGGGTGGTGGAGCTTTAGCTCGAGTTACAGATAGAGGAGGGTCGGAGGCCGTAAGAGGGAAAAAGAAGAATAAAAGAAAATTGAAAATCCCTACAGACGAGCAGGCGTATCAAAAGTAAATCCTTGTAGATCCCGGTACGTTCTATGGTTCGATTAGCTTCTTAGAGTAGCTACACGGAGCCAAGTGGGAGGGCTGAAAAAACCGGCACACTTCTCATGGACGCTGAATATTTTACGAGGTTGGTAGATACATACCTACTTACTCACTCTTGAGTTTCAATGGTCCTTTTATAACCCCAAAAACCAGCGTAACTTTTATCGGCAACTTTGCCAATCCAACATCAAAGTATTTGGGACTGTTGAATTCTTTACAAAAATATCAGGGATCACTTCGTGACGATATTTTTCCGGAGGTATCTGATACCTGAGTTATATTCCTTAGAGATATCCAGAAAATCATTTAGAATTTTTTTAGTAACGACCCGACGTGATCCGGTGCCCCTGCGAATATCATAATATGAATTATAATCCAAAGTGAACTTGTAATAACATAGGCAAGGTCATTATGTACCTTAATAAAAGCTTTTCCAAGAATTGGTATTCACTGAAAGGAATCGACTAATTAGAATATCGATAAAAGTTTTTAGTTGGGCCAAGTTTTTTCATTAAACTTTGGTATAAGATCGTAAGTACTCGAGAGAACAAAAACCGGCTAGTAAGAGCTATCTTTAGCTATAGCACGGAAGTAGAAGCAGCTAATCCAAAGTCAGACAACAGTGATATTACTGTATGGTATGGAACAAATATTTTTAATCGAGGGTGAAGTAGCATAATACTTGTGTATTGGAAGCTATAGTCGATCTACAATTAAAATCTGAAGCAAGGGACTCTTCTTCACTGGAAGTCGCAAGAAGATGGCCCCTACAATGTATTTTGCATACGGACGCTATACCGTTCTTTCTGTATCGTATAACTCACCCAACCCTGACAGCCGTTCCTTGTAACTAGCGTCGCTTCTAAAATCGACACACCCCGTACGGCCTAGGAATATCTATCACGTTGTACATTCTCAGTCTGGTATTTAGACATCTCGAGCGATATACATACCTATCCCAAAGGCCAGGACTCGAAATTAATAGACGAGAAAGGGGTGCTCGCGTATCCTGGGACAAGGATTGTCGGAGTAACAATGCATCTGGGCAAGGACGAACCGACCTATCGTAAGCATCGATCTGCGAGCTTCTCTTCCAGAACGAGCTAGACAATGCACCAGGGTAGAGTTCAGGAGGTTGGCGGGCAGAACTTGGAAAGGGGGTTGGAAAAGGGGTTGGCAATATGTGGTGATTGTCCTCATCTTTCATCGTAGACGTGCTCCGGGGGTTGAAACGGTGCCCGGGTAACGTCGACTAGACGGAACCACCCCGGATTCTGAAAGCTGCCACCGGAAAATAGATACACCACCCTCAAAACCTACTTGCCTCCCTTTTGTTTCTTTTTCATTCCATCTTTTTCTTTTCCTTCGTCTTTCCCGTGCTACATATTCCTAGGGAGGGCCTGATGAGACTATGGGTAACAGTAAAAAAGTGGTATAGCAAAAAGAGAAGAGCAACCCGGTATTATTTGTTTCTGTATCATCAGGCTGATCCACAATGTGAAAAGGATGAAACTTCACCCGTTTTTTATTCGTTTTTTATTTTTTGTTAAGCCTCTTAATTATATGTTTAGCACTCCTGCCTTTCGTATATACATACTGATATAGGGATTAAGTCTTGGCTTGGTACTAATCCACCCTGTTATACGCAGTCACAATAAAGAGTGATATTTGTCCACGTATATGAAACCTTTTACTCTTTTCCTACCGTCTACGCTTTACAATGTCCATATACCATAAGTGTAGATACGTGAAGGTGACGTAACGTTTGTACAGTTTATACGTAAAATTTTTAAAATAAATTGTAACCTGTCCACGAAAATGGTACAGCATTCGTCGCAATAATTGAACTCGGCAAAATATTTGGTGCGAGCTTGTATGACTGTCGAGTATTTTAGAGTACGCAACCTATACAAATATAGTTCTGAATGCACGTGCGCGAATCAAAGCTGAACCAATGAAAGAGGAGGATTGACGTATGACATTATTAAATATGTCGATGACCCTTCTGCCCGTTAATAAAATTGGATTACCATGAATCAGCCGATGTTCGATAATATCGGGCCGTCGATTTATCACGATGCCACGAGCGTGTGCGAGTTCTTACCAAGCGATAAATTACCTTTCGACAAAGCCGCGAAATGCCAAGGGTGGAAAGGTGGAGAAAGCCGTAGCCCACCCTCGAATCAGAAAGTGCTTAAGGAACGTTTTGCTATTCTCCATGGTTCGAACTTTCTTCCTGGCATTGCCACCCTGGGAGAAGAACTTCCCCATCGTGGGCAATCGTTGAAGTCTTCAGTTATCATATATGTATATACACAGTTTATTCCAGCCGAAGAGAATATATAAGAAAATCTTCTCGCGTCCCTTCCCAATCTGGCATAGACCAATGGAGTCAATGGAGTATTACATTTAGATTAAATCAATTCGTCGACAGTCGAATTTCACAATATTTGAAATAAGTGCGAGTATTTTGTTATCGTCAACCAGGTCTCGCGTTTCGTATTAAATTAGAACTGTCATTTATGCATCAACGGAGCGTGCCATTACTTGCGTAAAGCTCCCCCTCCCACTCTCTCTCTCTCTCTCTCTCTCTCTCTCTCCCTCTCCCCCTGCCCCCCCTCTTTCTCTCTCTCTCTCTCTTTTGCATGGACTCTCCTACCAATCACAATGACTGTTTGTCATTGTTAACCCGACGAGCGTTACGTGTCGCCGACTGGTCGCCGCAATCTGATCTATCGCCAGTACGTTTACACGCATCGAGCGATTTACGGTCACCACCGGCAGGACAAACAATTTTACGTGAATACGAGAGGGCGCGCACCGTGCTATGAGTATTCCTCATAAATCGCATCCAGTGCTACTACTGGTAGTTTGTATACGGGATGGTCGTCCAACTCTACGCTATCGTCAGTGCGTGATGGAAATGAAGGGTTGGCTTTTTTAATTTATTTTTTTTCTCCATATTTATATTACCTCTCTGATCCTTTTTCAACCCCTTCATTTTCATCCACTCGCCTACCGGTGCGCGCAATATTTAAATTTATGATGTACCCCACTCGTAAAGCGGGTTTTGCAGTAATTTCAAACCGAGTATTCGGCGGCTTGCCGTTACCTACTAGAACGAGATATAGCGTGAATAGTGAGGGTTTCAAAAGAGAAGGTGGCGTTAAGGGAAAGCCGCTTTGCAAGTCGTTTGCATGAAATTTGAATCACTGAGACCAACTGCATATAAGGTTCCCCTTTAAAAGATGGCTTTTGAATGTATAAGCGATGCGCACAATCGGTACGGCTAATAAAATACGAACGAGGCAAATTGAGGCATCCGCAATCATTGCGATACCGCCTCTTATGAGCGTTGCATGTTTCAACGTAGTCATGTTACGTGGACAGTCTTTAGTTTTATTTTATTTACATATTGCAGCCAGATACACATGGAGACAATGTGGATATGAGAGAGTCAGGATGAGTTAAGACCGAAAGGATCCTCTACTGGTACAGACACTTGGTGGAGGCCGCATATGATACGGGAAGAGACATGTCACTGCTGTCTAGTCGTGGCGGTCGCAGGGGACCAATCCTTTGCTTCTTAGCCCTGCTCTTCGTCTTCGGCCTCTATCAGCTGGGACTTATATGCGGACCCTCGAAAGATGGACCCACTTCCATGATGATAGCTAAAGAGGTAAATAACTTTTTTTTCTATTATAATGTAGTTGTTGTGATAGCGTTATATAGACTTTCACTGTCAAGATACAATATTATTAATAATCTCTATGCCTACGTATGGGGTAGAGTGCTTGATAAGAGCTGACCGTAACTGCCAGAGACAATCATCTCACTGAATTCTCATCCCTCCGACAAAAAGGGGTACCTTCACAACTGACGAAGAGAAATGAAATATGGTTACCAGGGTAAGGGACATGTACCTACTGGCTGAGTACCCGGAGAATGTTTTGCTTCCTGACTCATCGTCAGGGCTGACGATTCAAGCGGAATTCAACAATCTGACCATCTCCATCGTTAGATTTTCAACCTATAATTTTCACTTAATACTAGTGTGAATGGGTTTAATTCACGTAATCGAAAACGCAGCGATTGTTATCACAACGTCCGTAACCTCTGTTGGCTCAGTCTCTCAGTGGCCCTAAGGAAGAAATAAAAGATCAAGGAGGGCGCGACCTTACGTCTCACTGCGTTTCGAGTGTCACCGATTATTCCGATCGATTGAACTCAATTCAATACTTTCTCGGGTCATATAAGCACATTTATACTGCCGCTCGACCCTCCGGGTTCTTTCTTAAGGTGCGCAAAGAGTTCACGGTATATTGCTAAACGGTAAGATTCCAACGCGAATCTAACGTAATCTATGACATTCTACGTCTCTGTTATGAGAAGAAGAAATGCGCCATGATCCCAGCCTATATAAATTGGATGCCCATAACCTCGCTTTGTACCCAACGCTAAAGACAACTGATAGGGATTTCTGTGCCAGCGATAGAAAAAACTGCCAGGATATAGCGACGCCCAGCGAATCGTAGTTTAATGACAGAGGATGTTTTTCTGTGGTTTCCCCAACTAATTTATCACGATCCACCTAATCCCGTGGCGTCGCGATAAATTCTACGTCGACGTGCTTTTCTCTCGCTAAACGCGACTCACACGCTCCCGATCGCCGTTCCTGTGCCTGCTATACCCAATGCCCACTGCTTACTCTCCTAGGACGCCGATCGGTCCTGGTAACTAATGGCAGGCGGACACGCACACCGGCCCTGACCTGTCCCATCGAAATAGCCGTCGAATGGAACGAGTATAGTACAGTGCCTCCTTGTTAGGTCATTTGTCAAGCTCGCGACCCTCTTACTTTCTCCAAGTAACTCTGTGGTTCGCGGTGCGTGATCGATGGTGAGGACGTCGTCGCGTCTTATCCACAGATACCCCCTATGAATTGAACAAGCTGTCAAGAATTAAGCCAATGACCGTGAGGAAGGGACTGGTACGAAAATTTGAATGGCTTTCACAATCCCTCCGGTGTATTAGCGTCTCATGCTCCTGGGACTATTGTAGCACAGGGAACGTCTCCCTTTTCTGCTTCTACTCTTTTCTGTTCTTTGCAATATTATCTCAGCCGCGTTCCTGGGATAGCTCAATGAAAGGCTTGCAAAGAGCCACTTTGGCAAATGAAGCAACTTTTTCTTTCTTAGACTCCCTTTCTTGAGGCACATTTTTAGTCTTTTTTTTTTAATTTCTTACTTTTTCCCGTACCGTTCAACCCTTCCTTTTGTCACACGTCAGGATAGGAAGCGAATCATTAGCTGATTTGTTGTAACACGACGTCATCATCAGTCATAAGAATCAAGTGGATTTCTTAGAGAAGAGGACCTATCGAATTTGCAAGTTACCAAGTTTAATTACGGATTAACGAACCTGATTACCGATTAACCTACCTTAGATAGTTTGATCCACCCTAATTTGTAGAAATTATCGGAGACTTCATTAGCGAAGTCAGCGTCAGCTAAGACAGCGATGGACGAATGCAGATCACGGGTGGAAGGCAGAGAAGGAGAATCCCGCGGGATATCATTCTGATTAGGACGAGGGGTGAATTTTCCTTTGGAAGCCCAGGACGGAAGAGAGGGATGTTCGATAAATAAAAAATGCCCGAATATTGCCCGTCGATTAGTCATCTCACGTAATCAGTATTACCTATCTGACGACTATGACACAGACAATGACAGTGTCTAAATAATTACTAAACAATTTTCGTAACACACGGGACCTAATTGCGACGTAATACGACGTTGGTCGTTCAATTATGACAATATGACGTAAAGTGAGAGATGAGTTGAAAAATGTATCGTGAAGGAAATCAAAGACTCCTTGTGATCACTGGTATAAATGTAGAGCGTCAATAATACAACCTGTGGCACCATCGCAATTAATCTATCGTTTTGACGACTTTGACGCTTCTCGTAAACAAAACGAGGTTTGAAATGACTAAAAAAATGGCTATGTTCAAGGCTGGTTCTTATGTTTGTGGACAGTGGCGACGCCTTAATGAATGAAAAGCTGACAAAGAAACGGACGCCGTCCGCGACAATGGTCGTAGTGCAAGGGCTGAACGTTCCAAGGGATGAATTCTGTTGAAAAAGTTGGCTTATGTTTTAGGGCGAACCCCTATGGAAACGTGAGTTGCGAGAGCGACGCTATCGTTTTATCTATTTACCTAAACTAACCTAACCTACAAACGAGAACCGTGTCGAACAAAGAAGAATGCGAAGAAGCGTCTATTATTATACTTATGACCAGTGGCTGGAAGGACAATAAGAAGAGCGGTGGAAACCCAAGAAGAATTCTTCCTCTTATGCCTTTAATCGTTTTTCTGTTGACAAATAGATATCTCTCTACTCATGTAAACATCCCATCGCGTCAATGCAGGAGTGTACGTATTCCCATAGGAAATATTAATTTTTGCAGCACCTCTTATACGGTCGTACTATTGAAATGCTCAACCTACCGAGACAGCTACTTATTATAGAGCCATCCTGTACCCACAAATGATTCCGACTGATCTCATCTCGTCTTGTTTGCTCTTTAATTAGTGACGTTTGCTCTTTAAGTGGTACCTTCGTGGCTTTCCAGTTTTGAACTACCTACAGTCGGCCCACGAGTTCAATGTGCTTTTTGACAGTTCTCATATTAATATGATCCTTTACATATCCCATGTTTACGCGTATTTTACACAGAAGAGATGTACGTATAGATGTTTAAAAAAAAATTGCCACATGACTGTACCCGTAACGCTAGCACACAGTACGTGACATCTGAAATCGCAATTTCAAATAAGCGACATCAAAGACTTTCGTTCTTTTCTGACGACGTCAAACAAGTCAAAATAAAATATAAAGAGACGCCGTGACGTGTAGGTCGGTGAAACGTCGTTTAATATTTGCCTCGTCGACGCCGGTGTTACCTGTGTCTTCCGTAAAAACGCGTCCTAAAGAAACTGACTGCGCCATTGCTACTTACTTTTTCTTCGCATTCTGAATTTTTGTTTTTCTTCCTTTTTTTTTCTTACAATTTTTTTCACTCCTTGTGCTTCTTTCACGTCACCCGTCTGTCTTCTTCAGTTCGTACCTATTCTTTTACGAAGATTCACAGTGCGACATTTTTTTCACATAAAAACGGAAGGACGTGAAACTCCGGAAGGGAAGGGAAATCCCACGTTGTTTCCTACTTTTTGCGATATAAATCGCACTATTCCGCTTTTTCCGTTTTTTTTTTCCTTACCTTTTTCTCAGACTAGGCATCTCGACAAAAAATAGCCAGGTAGCCTCTCTCTCACTTTCAGTCTCACCCTCCATTCATCTCGTTTCCGGATTTTTCTTTTACACTCACCCCTATTATTTCTCTTCACAACGAAATAAATGCTAATTACACGACATTTTCTGCCGTGACTATAGACCACTCGAACAATGTTCCATCCGCCATTCTTGCAAATAACGCCAACCCGAAACTTAGAACATGACTCTGCATCTGAGCTTGTTAGCAATCCTTTGAATCGACCTGTCGCTTGATGCATACTTATTTGTGTGGCTGCAAGGAAACCACCTTGAAATATTACTGACCGTCGAGAACAATGGAAATACCCGAGACAATGGAGACGTGGGAAAAACAAATATTTTCACGGAACGAGTCACGCTTTCTGTATGTTCCCTGCAATCCTTTCAAAGTCCCTGGTACGGAGACACTTGATTCCTCAGGCAGTGTGCAATTTGATGGATTTTTAAACATTTTACTTAAATACGTCAATGTTGTGTAACTTTGAATGAATAGTGGGACTTTTTAGTCACCATTGGAAAATGATTAATTCGGTCTTTACGGAATGACTTGCATTTAGAATGAAAATTTATTGAGCACTGAAAAGTAGTCGCATTCTGCACTTCTGTTAATGAAATATTTCAACCATCGGAAGAGTTTGTGAAATATATCTCGTCAATATCCGAGATTTGCTCGTATTTTTAACGGTTAGAGCATCTCTGGTAAATTCATTCGACATGAAAATGTGAAAAAGTTTATATTGCCATTCAATTTGAATTCGAGGACCTGATAGATGCAGTTATTTAGGTCCCGAAATTCCCGAGCCGCGTAATATGAAATGAAATGAAGCTATTAATAAAACAAACTGTACCACCGTTATACTGGACGGTATTTGCAGTAGTAAACAAAAGAAGGCGGTCGCGCTTTTAAAATCGAAATATCGCGCTTTTAACGAACCATAAAACGAGAATTTTTTACAATCCAATAACGTACCTACAACGCAACATGAAAACGGAAATCTTTATAGGATTCCATAAAGTTTTCCTTGTTTTGCGATTACGGCCTGGCCGTGCTTGTTTTTCTAAAACTTTATTTGACATTCTTTCTGTGCCTCTCTAACTACCCCGCCGCCACTTTCCCACGGGACTGACAATGTTTATGGTCGGGATTTAATTCGAAAATCCCTGGTAGAATATACTGGCATAAATGCCAAGCCAAAACTCTACAAAACTCAGGAATCTTGCGACAGGTTCTTTAAATCTCTTCCTCCGGCAGCCACCATCAGAATTCAGAATCTTTTTTTCTGCACCCTCCTACACTGCTTTATTCTATTAAGAGTGCAGACCTCGGAAGGTCAAGTACCAATTGCAAAATAAAATTGGCTAATCGATGTGACGTTTCATCCCCTTTAGATCCAAGATAAGCCAGCCAACGGTTCATGGTTTCCATACGACTTTTTTCAATTACCAGTACGTTATTTTTTTCTAAAATAATTTCAAGGTCATTGTACGCATAATAAAAGCAAGTAGGAACATAAAACAATTTTGTGCCATTTAATGGTATAACTTTACATAATAAAAGTAATGTTATCTAACATTAATTGCATGTTATCTGCTTATTTTCAGAAATACGTTGTTTCGTCCCTTGACCATAAGAAGTATTCTTACGACAGAACGATGCCGCTTATATTCATAGGCGGTGTACCACGCTCAGGAACAACTCTGATGCGTGCCATGCTGGATGCACATCCCGACGTAAGGTTGGTATCATCGTCTTTCTCAATTAGTCATTAGGTCAGCTTGCTGATAACCTTAAACGTCATAGATAGCACGGAATTACTCCCGTACACAGGCTCGCGCTCCGGCACCTGGTCCATATTGCAATTGCACTTTTGACTCGATCGGTACCCTGTATGACTGGTTCGAAGTACAATCAACTTAAAAGCACTGACATTGGTACCAAGATTCCAGTTTATTTATCTGGTCTGCAAATTCAAAAGCCTATTTCGATGCTCCTTTGGTTTACCGTGAAACTCGAAACTTTAAATGCATCGCGAATGCATTTTTCTGTTAGAGCAAGGAACTTCGGATGCTGCATGCACGGCTCCAATGGACCATCGACTTTTATTTCAAAATTTCTCACTATCTTCTCTCCGTTTACGGATAGAACAATGAAATTCAATATTCCAGACACGTGGATGATCATTGAAAATACATTATCCTCGATATTTCAAGGAAAATATATATTCTTAATCAATTTTTTATTTAAGATGCGGCCAGGAAACTAGAGTAATTCCGAGGATTCTACAGATGAGATCCCACTGGCTAAAATCTGAACGAGAGAGCGTACGCCTCGTAGAAGCTGGAATTTCTAAAGAGGTAACAATTTTATAGAAGGACACTTAACTAATTACAATCTAACTTTTATATATGAAAAATAAAGAACAACGTATAAATTTAATTGGACTGTCATCCGATTTTTTAAATAGGTAATGGACAGTGCGATAGCTGCGTTTTGCCTTGAAGTGATAGCACGACATGGTGAACCGGCTCCAAGACTCTGCAACAAGGATCCACTTACATTAAAAATGGGATCGTACGTCTTGGAGCTTTTTCCAAATGCGAAATTCTTATTCATGGTCCGTGATGGGCGAGCTACTGTGCATTCCATCATATCAAGAAAGGTACTTGGAGAACGCACCAGCTGCTCCAGCGAATGCATACATAAGCTGGACAATTTGTTACTTCCGAAATCATCCTTTTCAGGTCACCATAACAGGCTTCGACCTCACATCGTACAGACAGTGCTTGACAAAATGGAACCATGCGATATCCGTTATGCATAGCCAGTGTAAGGAAGTTGGTTCTGATAAATGCCTCATGGTCCCCTATGAACAACTGGTGCTTCATCCCAGAGAGTGGATGAAGAAGATCCTCAGCTTTCTGGATGTACCTTGGAACGAGTCAGTCCTTCACCACGAGGAGTTCATTAATAAGCCTGGTGGAGTACCACTTAGCAAGTAAGTCCTGAACCTCATTCATGCAATTTAATATATTTTTATCAATTCTTTAACATACCTCTTACTTGTCTGTTACCAGAGTAGAGAGATCCTCGGATCAGGTGATAAAGCCAGTCAATTTAGAAGCATTGACCAAATGGGTAGGACATATTCCTGATGACGTGGTTCGCGATATGCCGGACATTGCTCCTATGCTGTCAGTTCTCGGTTACGATCCTTACAGCAATCCTCCAGTGTATGGAGCACCGGACAGTTTAGTCAGCGACAACACCAGGAGGTCAGTGTACAACCTGTAAAACAACTATTTAGGTATCATTTATCCATTTCCCTAGTTAAATAAACTGAATAAACATTTGGTATTTTCCGTTTCTCGGTACAGGGTGCTCGCCGACGGAGAAATATGGGCTGCCAAAGCCCGACAATTGTCCCTCCAGAGGGTAGCGTCGATGCCCAACGAAGAAGATCCCAGCGACAGCCCGAACGCGTGACCCTGGATTCACGTCCTTCTAGACACGCACAACACAAACGTGTACAATTATTATTATATCTAACTGTACCTTCCAAGGACGAGGCAATGTTACCAATATCGCCACCAGATTTATTAAGCGACCGTCAACTCTGTCGCTGCTTTTCCGTATTGCTTCCTAGACGTTTTTTTGAGAACGACTAGCGGAACCGTGACGAGACATATTGGAAACGTTGCCTGTGCGATTAACTTGTTTAATTTATTGCAGCTTGTAACTGATTAATCGATTTGTTTTTGAAAAAACGTTCCTTGGTTTCTTGTGTGACGGCTGCCTTAGGATTAGTCTCGTGTTTTACTTTTCTGTTGATTACCGTGGGACGGGTACGTTCCTGGTGTTATTGTGTAATCGATGGAGGATACTAGTGCGTGTACCATCTATGTTCATCATACAACGCTTCTTGTAAAAGAAGAAAAAAGAATGAGACAATGAGGAAAGAAAAGAAAAAGACAAATGATGTTTCTCTGCGGACTATAAGAAATCTCATGATCACGAAACTTCGAATTGTGTTTACTTGTGAATCAGTATGCAAGTGTAATTAATGATAACTGTTAGTTTTATTGCAATAACGCGAACATTCGCACGCAACTGTTCCAATCCCCAATTACGGTACAATGAGAGAATTTGTTGTTTTGTTACGTTATACCGTTATATTTTATAATTCATTTAATTATCCATACACGTAGCACAAACAGTTGCACAGTACTTCAATAATTGTCCAAGAAAAAAAAACATGTCGACCAAATGGCCAGTGAAAAATGGTTGATCCTAAAAACGTATCCGATTTATGTGAAATGAGTAAAGGCAGAATTAAAACGAACAATAATAGATATTAAAGTACATACTTACGTGTTTAATCGACTCTATCTCGCTCTATTAAAAGCTAATACTTTATACCACTGGTATTTTTCTTATGTGGCTTTCCGACTGTTATTTTCAATCAAAATATCATCGTAACGCAATCCCGTATGCGTTTTGCCATATTCGAGGTGTCTTTGATTTAGGAACGTCGTGCCAAGGACGTTTTTGTCAAATGTATTACGTTAAAATAAGTTTCCAAAGATGCGCTAAGAGTCAGCCGAGAAAATTGTACTCTGATGATCAATGGAAATCTTTGGCACCAACTAATAAGAATAACGTGAGTTTGCGATTGTACAGAATAAAATATTATTTATAAGCTATCCATGTGAGAAACAAAGAGAGAAGCTCTGTGTTGTCTTGACCCTGATTTTTCAGGCACTTGTCAGATCTTCGATTTCTTGAGTTTTACGGAAGATTATAATAACAGTGCATGTAATAACATGTTATGCTTTTCATTGAGATACAACAGAAGAAGAAGTTCTATGTCAACCGAATTTTTAACATCTTAATGTGGCGTTGTATTTGAATCAGCGATGTTATTGTCTATCATATTATGAAATTAAATTATTTTAATATAAAAAACTTATGTCTTTTCAATCCCTATTTACTACCTTTTTTTTTTTGTAAAAGCTAGATCCTCTGAAGTATACCCAAAAAAAGATAGAATGTAGAATTTGAATTTACCGACTGCAGGTAACTTTTTTAGTTAGTATATTGCGTAATTTGACTATTGTTGTCAAAATGCGCGGGTTCTGTTAACGAAGAAACACAAAGATTTTCCTAGAGAACAACTAATTGTAACGTGCGGTGTTATATAAAATATTGTTAACGTATAATAACGAATTCGTTACAGAAATATATTGTATGTACATACATATACCTGAAGTACTACGACTAAAGGTACAGGTTTTTAATAACGTTCATATTAATTAGAAATGTGGTATAACCCAGCTAGCTTTTGTGAACCGTCATTTTTTTTTGACAATGCCGTCAAAGTAATATAAACTGATAGTTATAAATGATTGAAACTAAAGGTTTTACGATATTTTAACTGATAATCTTTCAGCTGAAAAGACAAGTGTTATCCATTCTTTCAGGTTAGTTTGTTTTTTATATAGGTATTATTCATAATATAGTTAACTGTAGTTTAATAAACAAATTTCAAAATTTTACTTATAAAAAATAATTTCTGTATAGTAATAAAGAGGACAAACTATTCTTCTATTTATAAAAAATGACATTTTATTTATGTCGATAACTTAAATGTTTGTCTTATCAGTATTTATTTATTTGATAGAATAAAATTAACAATGGATACTCAAGAAAGTCAAATAGATTCAGACTTACATATATACTTTGTTATACCAAGTAAGTGTAAAAACGAAAATGATTGCACAGAGGATATGTGGCTTGCATTCAATGTAAGTATTCCTTTTGAAATTGATTGATTGAAACTTATAACATATTTGGAAATGAGATTAAAAATTAATATTTTTACAGAAATGTATAGAACATGATTTATCGCCTCGGTGGATATTTGAAAACAAATGCAACATGATAGATGACAATAAAAAAAATGTATTTGTAATGGACGAATTTAGCGGTGAAGTCTTTGAGAAATTAAGAAACTTTAAATGCTCGTAAGTATCATAGATATTACATGTTTTCTTTAATATAATATAAATATATATTTTCATATTTACATGTTTTAGCAGAGTAGTGGGACCTAGGTGTATGCTACATTGTTTTATGTCTTGCGAACCTATACCAGAAGGCACTAGTCCAGTATATCTCACAGCTATGAGTGGTCTTGTTGTAACTGCATCAGGGTTTTCAGTCGAAGTTAAGGTGCTCGCATGTTATGAAAACAAGAAATCTTTAAAATAGATATTTCATTATCTTTGCAATCACTGATGTTAAACTAAATTTGCAGGATAAACTCAAGGAAAAAGTAGAATACATGGGTGGTATATTTACAAGACAGTTGAGAAGTAGTGTCACTCACTTGATAGCAGATTTTGTGATGTCTGCAAAATATGAGGTTAGGCATTTAAGCATGTTACAAAATAAAAACATTTATTACAATTTCATCAAGAGTAAACACGTTTAATGTTTTTTAAAATACAGCGAGCAGTTGAAAATGGTTTGGCAGTGTTTACGGAGCACTGGCTGGATGCAGTGTGGAACACAAATTTACAACAGTTCGTTAAGGCCACTGACAGCATGTTTGACAAATATAAGTGTCCTGTTTTTTTAAACCTGGTTATCACATCTACAAATTTACCGAGGCGGGAGAAAGATGAACTTAAAAAACTTATTGATAATAATGGAGGGGTAAGTTAGTCTCTCATATTATTTTCTACTGTCATCTTCTAAACGTCCTAATAAATCAGTCGCTGATTTTCTTTCATTTCAGATATTTATGGGCGCATTAGATGGCTCAAAAGTAAAAGTAGTATTAGCACCTGAAAACAGTGCTCTTAGTGACAAATTGAAATATGCATTACAAAATAATATTCCTTGCGTAAAAAGTGAATGGATTTACGAAAGTATTAAAAAGGGATATGCCTTACCTTTCAATGATTTCCTTATAAAATCAACCAAAGCATGCTCTACACCTGACAAGAGCCAAGGTCCCTTATTTCTCAATATCATCTTTATTTTTTGAATCACTTTTTATAAAATTGTATTATGTTTCAACAGGAAATGAAACACTGAATTTCTCTACAGTCAGCGCAATACCAGGTGAATACAATCAAAATAGTTTAGTTGAGGAATCAATGGCAACAACGATGATAACAACAATGACCAGCATGGCGGAATATACACCTACAGAACGATCTGCTGGTAAAATAAGAAGTAAATACAATAATTCTATTGGTCACATATTGTTGATTTTTCTTCTTAATTGTTTATTAGATAGTTCAGCTTCATATATACAAGTGATCGAAAGGCTGAACGTTAAAGAGGCTAAAATGGCTGGACCGTTTTTAGATGGATGCAATGTAAGTTAACAGAATTTTTTATTAGATTACAAATATGAAAAACTTTTCTATTTGTTTGACAGATTTATCTAGCAGGTTTTCCAGCGAGTCACCGTGAAAAACTTAATCGAATACTTAACGTAGGCAGTGCAACTCGATTTGACAATATCTCCTATGCTTTGACTCATATTCTCGTAGGGGATCCGAGTAGAGCTTCAAATGACTTAAAAATAATACAAACAAATGGTGTGGGGTATGCTTTTTCACAGATTCCGGAATATATACATGTTAATAGTTTATTAAACAACTAATAATATAAGAAATGATATAATTTACAGTGCATGTCTATTAAAAATAAATTGGTTGGAAGAAAGCATCAAATTGAAACGGCCGGCGGCTGAAGAAGCTTTTTTGTATGAGGAGGAGAAAACCGTATCTGAAAAACCTGTAGAGCCGCCATCGCCTTTAAGTAAAAAGGTAGGTTATTCGTTTAATAAAATATGCAGAAAAAGTATTCTGAATATATGTATACACACACACACACACATACATATCTTATGATATTTCAGAGTTTGCAGATGTTACAGCCGCCTCGACGGCCACCAATACCATCCTTCAATATTGATAAACCAATGTCTGTCACAACAGATATGGAAGAACCAGATCTGGTACAGCAATATCTGCAAAAATCAGTTGGTAATGATTTTTCAACCTGACATTATTAAAATATATTTAAAATATTAATAAAATATTTGTTATATATGAATTATAGCATCCGATAAAACGTTACAACATTTTTTGGAACCCCACAATGCAACCTTGACACGAGAAAATGAAAAAGCTGCAGCATCTAGTAACACTATCAATCATTCAAATAGTTTATATAAAAAAGAATATAATACTAAAAAAGATGAACCTTGTAACGACAATACGATACCGCTTAGTCAAGAATCAGAAGCAAATGATAAATTATTCGAAGGTAAAATATTTCTACACTGTTTCTTACTTAAAATGTGCAATTCATTAACCACACTCTTTTCTCTAGGCTTAACGTTTATCCTATCTGGTTTCGAAGAATTTGACATGATGAACTTTACATCTATTATAGAGGCTTTATCCGGAAAAATCGTACCTAAATCATTCTTAGGAATTCCAGATTTTGGAGTAGTACCCGTATTGGGTGCTACCCTGAAGCACACAGTAAATGAAATCGTTACAGATTTATATATCGTAAGTATTTTTCCTTTCATGAGGTAATACGTAGCTTTGTTAAACGTTTCATGTTTATAAATATATATTTGATGCCTAGGATGATTGTATAGATCAAGAGAAAATGCTACAAATTGAATATTTTCATAGACCTTTGTCTATAGCAAAAAATGCAAAGCCCTTGGCAGGCTGTGTCGTAGCCATGAGTTCGTATACTGGAAAGGAACGTACTTTTTTATCAGAATTAATACAAGCACTTGGTGGGATGTATGCAGTTTATTCATTAAATGATAATAGAATGAAATGTAACATTAATTATTTAACATCGATTTTGTTTTTAGATATCAGGATACGTTTGCACGTAAAACAAATGTAGAAAGAGAGACTTACGCCAGTACACATTTGGTATGTCCGACACCAGAAGGACAAAAATATAATGCAGCTGTAAAATGGAAAATTCCAGCAATAACAGCAGAGTGGTTGAAAGCATGCGCTACTGAACAACAACTTGTTGATGAAACACCCTATCTTGTAGGAGAAACGATAGGTAATTACTGAATTTTATTTACACAAGTTGTATTCGAAAGGGATACTTTTGTTATTAATGATTGTTTAAATTAGCACCAGAAAGATCTGCACCTATGGAACCAATACCGACGAAACTAACCATTACACAAGATGAAAAAATGAAACCACCCACTTCCCCTGCCATCAGACAAATCTTAACTCCGAAGCGGCATTTACCACACTCAAAGGTACATATTTACATGAAACAATTAACATATTTTGTTATACAAAGTTTTGTATAGAAAAAAAAATTGTGAATGGATCTTTCAGAATCAAGCAAATTTTGGGGAAGAAACTCCTTTAATAAATAAAAGACTTAGTCTCGTTTTTAATAAAACACCACAATCTCCATTTCACGTATCTACACCAGAGACACCCTATGGACAAGTATTCAAATCTAATCCTTCACCCGATACCAGGAAAGGTTGGGTTAAATGGGTAAACGATTTACCAGATTTAAGGGTTGAAGAACCACCTTCTAAACGAAGAGCTCCTAGTACAGTATGTATAAGTATAATTAAATTTAATTATGAAAATAGGATGTACATAAAATAATTTTGATTTCAGCCACTTTCCGAGTTGAAGAGACAGTTATGGGAAAAGATAAAAGAACCACTTGATAGGCGAGATGTGAGAATCTATTTTTTTTAACTAAATTTTTATTATTTATTTGATAATGATAACTGACTTCGTTAATTCGTTAGGATGATGAGGATGGCTTAGAAGAAGTTTCGCAAAAGAATAATTCGTCAGAGCCACCAACATTTCCTGAAAATAATATTTCAAAGGATGCAGCAACTTCTGGCACAATTTCGATAAACAAAAAATTAAATTTCGTGGATGAAAACAGTCCCATTTCAAACAATCAAATAAATTTGTAAGCAATGGTGTTTTATATTATTGATCTTCATATAATATTGTAAATAATTATTTTGACTTAATTTTACTATAGGCAGTTGGCACAATTAGACCAAGCACTTCAGGCTACAACAAATTCTCCTGAAACTAGACACTCCTTAAACATAGAGAACGCGAAGATTTATCAGTCGGAACCTATTGATCCAATAGCGAAATGTATGTATGCATTAATATTATTCAATTCCTAATAAAATATAATATACGTTATTAAGATATATCTCTCAGGTCTCATCAAGGATTCACAGCCAGATACGGTAGGCTGGGAAGATCCAGGTCAGCAAATGATATCAAAAAAGGTAAAACTGAAAAAAATGTACCAAAAGCATTTTCCATTACAAAATTCAAAAAATTTATATTTTACAGTCGACCATTACAGAAGATGTAGAAGATGAATATGAAAGAGAAGTCGAGAACTTTACAGATGAGGAATTAGCTGAAGAAGTAGTGCCACCACCAAAATTTAAATTTATGCTTTCAGGAATCAAAGTATGTAAACAATAAGTGGATGAATCCACTATAATAATACGCATTTATTTTAAAATAAAAAACTTTTTAATAGGACCGGAATGCTTACGAAGAGGTTATAAAGATCCTTGGAGGTGAAGTATCTACTGAACAGAATTTCGACATGTCAGCCACACACTTACTATGCATACGACCGTCACGAAATGAAAAAATGCTGAGCAGTATAGCCGCCGGAAAATGGGTACTTCATTGCACTTATTTACGTGATTGCGAACAACAGGGTAAATTTATTGACGTAAGTTCGCTTAAGCTGTCCATACTAATTTCTGCGCTACAGAAATAAATTGCTGACTTTTCTATTCAATACAGGAGGAAAAATATGAATGGGGAAATCCAAAAAGTAAAGGTGTAATACCTGAACCTACAGGAGAGACTGAAAAATTAATTGCTGCTGCTGCGTATAAGTGGAGAATTAAAATACTCCAAGAACCAGGTGGTGCCTTTCAAAATATGGTGGCTCTACTTCTGGTTCAAAAAGAAAAATACGATCAGTTTCAGAGACTTATATGCGCTGGTGGTGGTGTAGTTGTACAAGCTAAACCTCCTTATGTTTCTAGTACAAATGGGCGAAAGATTACACACTGTTTTATACAATTAAAACAAATGGATCACCAAGCAGATTGGGCTATGATGGCGAGTAAAGGTATTTTGTGTTTCTTACCTCAATATCTAAGTGAACACTTAACTGCGGAAAATCCATTGAATCTTAGAGAATGTGTTATACCGGAGTTCAGAAAATACTTAGCCCTTATTCCAAAATAAAATCATATTTTTATCTATCAACATCATAACTTAAATAAACAACAGTAATGAAAATTTTATTATGTATAAACGTAATATTTAAAAACTAATTTTAAGTATCCTATACGAAATAGCTAATATAATTTGTTTCTAAAAAAATCATATAGTACGTCTAACACCAAGTATCTTAACTGGATATTTTTTTTTAAATGGAAGTTGATTCTTTTTAGCTCAAAAAGTTACTTCATTTTTATACATAGAGTTGAAGGAGACTTCAAAATCGCTCAGTATAGTAATCAGTTAGACAGCAGTTTGCATATACAAAATATTTAATTATTTACACAATGAGTGAGGTTCATTATAAATGTATAAGATGCATATACCATGTATATAAATATTACGCATGCGATTTCCTTATATCACATGTGACGCTTTGTCTACACTGTTCTTAAGAGAGTGAAGAGCAAATTCCTGCTCTTAGATATATGTTCTTACGGCAGCAACGACAATGAGAAACTATTTAGATGATATTCTACACATATAAGATTTATGCAAAACATCAAAGACTTTGATCTGCATCGATTATCATTGGTAATTAGAAATTCAAACAAAAGCGACAGCTTATAGATGCTGAAGAAAGGAGTGCAACTTGTACGGTAGGATTGGCATACAGACGGAAGTCCCTTTTCAGCATCTCTTGCCCGAGAGAGTGATGGACCTTCTTAGCTATTTATTTTTACCAATGGAATTGCTTTGGAAAATCTGCAAAACTATGCAAAAGCACGTCATAGCGTCTTTCTTTTTTTATCACTAAATTTGTCAGGTGCGTGACAGTTAAAATTAGGATGTTTAGAAATTTCATATAATCGGTAAAAGAGCGTATAAGCAACAGTTCCCTTTTTAAATTATAATATTATTATAATTTCAGAGACCTAAAATTAACAATGAATTATAATATCAAATATTCTAATACTGCATAAAAATTGCGTCTAACATTTTACAATCAACAAAAATATCTCTATCCAGTATAAGAGCTTTAGTGCTAGTGGCTACAGCGGTGGCTATAGTTAGCTATAGTAGTTTGAAAGTACTAAGGCTCGGCTTTAAAATGCTCTATAACAGATGGCACTCTTGCTGATATAACCTCAAGAACCAGCAGTGAATACAATGTCCTTCGAAAAGCAGCACTTGAGGCACTGTCTTCTGACTGCGGAAAATCCATTGAATCCTAGAGAATGTGTTATACCGGAGTTCAGAAAATACTTAGCCCTTATTCCAAAATAAAATCATATTTTTATCTATCAACATCATAACTTAAATAAACATCAGTAATGAAAATTTTATTATGTATAAACGTAATATTTAAAAACTAATTTTAAGTATCCTATACGAAATGGCTAATATAATTTGTTTCTAAAAAAATCATATAGTACGTCTAACACCAAGTATCTTAACTTCAATCATAAACTCTAAGCGCCTATGTTTTTACTCAACTCTTCACAACCGTAAATTTGTAATGTCAGTTGAATAATGAAAAACGGGAATACTGTACTTTTGGCTTAGGAAGCAAGAAAAATAGTATACGACCCATGGCCAAAAAGTTAAATGCCCTGGCGTTAAATGCCAGGAAATCCAACTTTCTGGCCTTGGGTCGTAATATACTAATTCTTCAACAGCGGAGCGAAAACGGTCAATTCTCGAATGGGTAACGGGGAAGATTGAAAAATTAAATAGGAGTGAGAGGTGACATTTGCCGACGGATCCAACGACCAGCTACCACCGGGGCAATTGTTTTTTTCACGTAAGCTGTACGATGCACAGATGTTTCATTGTGATTTTCTACATTACCAAACTAACCTGCTTATTTGGACCGACCCAAGAATCACCCATTACGTGAAAACTCGCGTTCGCTCCGCTGTTGAAGAAAACAGTATGTGAACCGCGAGAAAAAACGGGCGTTTATACCTTGTATAAAATTGAGAACCCCTCGGCTTCGCCTCGGGAACCTCAACTTTATACGCGGTGCAGAAACGCCCGTTTTCGCTCTCGGTGCACAATATACTATTTCGACTTTGGGAGATGATGCTATATCCTGCAGTACCTGCAAAAAGTAGTTCCAAAATTTTAAAAATTTCGATGTCGAGAACGAAGAACACTCTAGACATCTGTTGGAGAAAAAGCCTTGTCAAACACAATGAGAACTTGCAGAAACACTTAACGTAACCCAACAAGCTGTTTCTAAACGCCAACATAAGCTAGGGAGAGTTCAGAAGGAGGGCCGCTGGGTTCTTAATGCATTCAGTCGAAAAAACAAATAAAGGCTGTCTCTGCTATCCAGGTTTAAAGGAAAAGATTTTCTGCACAAAATAATAACGTGTGATAAAAAGTGGTTGCTTCATGACAATCCCAAGAGACGGAAATCTTGGGTTTATCCGGGTGAACCATTGACCAGTACCGCAAAATCAAACATTCACAGGAACAAGGTGTTGTGTATTTGATGGGACCATAAAGGTCCAAGGGTACTTATACCCCCTCCCATAACAATTGAAAAATTGCATTTTGACAGTATCTGGCATTCTGAATTTCAACATTTAAAGACCAAAGTCGGTTTCAGCGACTTCCAAAACCGTTAGGATAGAAGGGTTCTGAAGACCTCGCGAGCGTACGAGGAATGTCGCCAGAAGGGTGTCAGGAAACGAAGGTATGGTTTTGGTAAACATACAACCGAACGATATTGAAATGATTAAGCTTCTTAACCCCTTAGCTTATATAACCACGACCGATACTCTGACTCGAGTCTGACTCGTAAAGAATTTGTGAGTGGCACGGCGCGCGACCGAACTTCTTGTTTACTATGGCTCGCGCGATCGGCAGATAGCGTGTAGGCCAAGGGGTTAATTAAGGTAGTTAGTCCATAAGGCAAAATGAAAGATTAATGTTTGCTATGAAAATATATTGTTCAGTGGAATATAATACGTTTTTTTAGCATTTTCAAAATTTTTAACCATCTAGTTACCGCGATATAAGCTTCTAAATTTAGTTTAAACAGCCTGCACTTCGGTAATCAAGGTGGACTGAAATCTGACAGCTGACAGGCTTCGTCTTCGCACGTCCATCGCATTTTTTACACAACAGATGGCGCTGACTGCTTTGCCTTCTTTACCTATTTGTACTCTGGATGGTGTTGGTAATTTACGAATACACAACACAATCAAATACACTTTGTACGTGAAGCTACCGTTCACACCGAATTTCCAGTTGACATAAGGCAACTTTCACAATAGTATAGAATTATTAAGGCTTTCATGTGGAGCGCGTGTGTATGCGTGTACGTATGTGTGTATGTGTGTGCTTTAACATAGTTCCTCGTATTTTAGGTGACAATTTTTAGATATATGGGATTTCCAGATGCTCCTCTCCGTAGTTTTCTGTAACTAGGTGTCGGATGTGGAAGTCCAGGGTGTCCAGGTGTTCCGCTCCGTAGTTTCTTATATCTAGGTGTCGGGCGTGGAAGTCCAGGGTGTCCAAGTGTTCCGCTCCGTAGTTTCTTGTATCTAGGTGTCAGGCGTGGAAGTCCAGGGTGTCCAGGTGTTCCGCTCCGTAGTTTCTTATATCTAGGTGTCGGGCGTGGCCTGCGTGGAACCGCATGGTGCTAGTTTTTCGGCATGAGGTGCGAAATTTTGAAATATCGTCGAAAGAGACGCTTTCATGTTTATACCAATAAGGCCTTTCCCTCCGGTCAGAATCTTGTGCTTGTAAGTAATCGGGTCAGCACTGTATCCACGCCACGTACCGCATTTTGAATGATCGTCAAACGCGTGAGGTACAATGTTTAGAAGGCCAGCTCCCATGTTCTCAATGTGCTCCCTTGTTCCTGTGCAGCACACAGCCAAAGCAATATTTCATATAATTCTCGGTTAGATCGATGGCATGGAGTCACCCTTCTCGGGCTAGATCATTGTGGATGGGCACTTCCGTTCACTAACACTCGCCAAGGTTTTGATCTAAATCCTTTATTGGTCGAAACAAAATAAAAGACAGACGTATCAGCGATTCGTTGCGGGGGGAACTGCGGGTATAGTCCATTCGCTGGTTGTCCTTTCCTTACTGGCTTTCTCAACGCTGCGCTAGCCCCGCATGTCCTCTTCCCCTCTGGCTCTCGTTTATTTTCCTTTTAATAACGTAAATAGTAATAATGGCCCTTGAGGACAAAAGGCGTTTTATTTGCCCGCGCCGTCATAATCAATAATTTTTGCCAGAATATTTAGGCTTCACATATCTCTACTAAGGGTACAAGTTGCATGATTAAATATCGGACTCCCTTTCGACCGGATGACTTGGCTTGATTTTGATTAATTAGCACTTTAATTTTAATTAGCACTTTACGATTAATACGATTAATACGATTTTGATTTATATTTCAATTTATTAGCGCTTCCCTTTTTCTATAATCTCGATCGCGTTTCGATCCCGTTTTCGTGGTTTTTACAGTTTTTTAGCTCGTAATCGTTCTCGATATTCATGACACTCAAAAGTCCCGGAGAAAATCCCGGGAAAAGTCCTGTAAAAAGTCACGGAAAAAGTAACGCAAAATATTCCCGGAAAAGGTACCGGAGAAATTAAGAGCGAGGAATGAAAAATTAAGGCCCAAATTTAATCTGAGTATGATATTATTTGTACATTAAGAAAAAAAGAGCGACGCAGATCATTCATAGAACATCGCTTCAAGGCACAATCACTGTAGGGAAAGATTAATCTCAGATCAGTTTTGGAATTATGCAGCAAACTGAGTGTTTCCTTCGTAAACCTGAGCGTAATCTGCCATGAAACACTACATTAAATACTACATAGTTTTATCGTATGTACCTTTACTGAATCTTATGTGGAATATGTAAAAGTATCTATTAGCTATCCGTTCTGTATCTAACAACTTTTACTGTAGGCATTAAATGATAATGTTATAACTTATAACTATTATTTCAATTCTTAGATTCCTCGTCCGTGTCCGCTCCTTTATCTGGGTATCAGCGTACGCTGCCATAATATTTTCATGAACTCTCTTTTTCTTGAACAGTCCTTACTCAAGAAATAGGCATTCCATCGGCGCAAATTTGACAAATATGTTGTTCATTTCAATCTATAATTAACACTTGCAAAATATTGTAAACGTGAGAAAGTACACTATACAAACAATACATTTTTTAAGATTTGAATAGCCGCGTGGGCTAAGACTCAGCGGAATAATAATCCACACAGGGTTCCGAGGTACGAATCCCCATCAGTGACAAAAAACTCACATAGGTGTTTTCAGCGATGTTTAATACGTATTAATCTTAAAGAATAAGTTCCGAATATCCAATTCAAAGTGCAATACAAAAACGATTGAATAAACGTAAAGTAATATGTTTTATTAATTGTGTTAATCGGTTAATTTAGTAAGGACTTAATTTGGGAACCTTTATGGAGCCCAACAAGGAAATCGAGAAAGGTCCCATAGATCAAAGTTAACCAGTCTAGTAGGCGTATGCCTAGATTTCCCTACTGGGCCCTCAATATAATTGGGGATAACAAGAATAGGCCAAGTAAAACCTCCAACTAAATATCTGCACGAGATCGATCAAGGGACACTTAGAATATTTAGGCTTCACATATCTCTACTAAGGGTACAAGTTGCATGATTAAATATCGGACTCCCTTTCGACCGGATGACTTGGCTTGATTTTGATTAATTAGCACTTTAATTTTAATTAGCACTTTACGATTAATACGATTAATACGATTTTGATTTATATTTCAATTTATTAGCGCTTCCCTTTTTCTATAATCTCGATCGCGTTTCGATCCCGTTTTCGTGGTTTTTACAGTTTTTTAGCTCGTAATCGTTCTCGATATTCATGACACTCAAAAGTCCCGGAGAAAATCCCGGGAAAAGTCCTGTAAAAAGTCACGGAAAAAGTAACGCAAAATATTCCCGGAAAAGGTACCGGAGAAATTAAGAGCGAGGAGGAATATTTAGGCTTCACATATCTCTACTAAGGGTACAAGTTGCATGATTAAATATCGGACTCCCTTTCGACCGGATGACTTGGCTTGATTTTGATTAATTAGCACTTTACGATTAATACGATTAATACGATTTTGATTTATATTTCAATTTATTAGCGCTTCCCTTTTTCTATAATCTCGATCGCGTTTCGATTCCGTTTTCGTGTTTTTACAGTTTTTTTAGCTCGTAATCGTTCTCGATATTCATGACACTCAAAAGTCCCGGAGAAAATCCCAGGAAAAGTCCTGTAAAAAGTCACGGAAAATGTAACGCAAAATATTCCCGGAAAAGGTACCGGAGAAATTAAGAGCGAGGATTAACAAATATAGCACGAGGGTCTACTTCGTTCTTGTATATAGGATTCAGGGAGATTTCAAAATCCTTTAGTATCGTAATCAGACCCACAGCGACTTGCAGCAATGCCAATCTCTGTCCTAAAATAAACAACGTTCAATTACTCACTTAATTATGATTTAACGAATCATTTGCTTACCGATGCAAATTCTTGGTCCATCTCCAAAGGGCATGTAGGTGCACGGTACAATATCTTTCTTTCGCTCGTCACTAAATCTGTCAGGATCATAAGACTGAGGATTGGGAAAATATTTGGGATCTGCACAATCACTGTAGGGAAAGATTAATCTCAGATCAGTTTTGGAATTATGCAGCAAACTGAGTGTTTCCTTCGTAAACCTGAGCGTAATCTGCCATGAAACACTACATTAAATACTACATAGTTTTATCGTATGTACCTGTACTGAACCTTATGTGGAATATGTAAAAGTATCTATTAGCTATCCGTTCTGTATCTAACAACTTTTACTGTAGGCATTAAATGATAATGTTATAACTTATAACTATTATTTCAATTCTTAGATTCCTCGTCCGTGTCCGCTCCTTTATCTGGGTATCAGCGTACGCTGCCATAATATTTTCATGAACTCTCTTTTTCTTGAACAGTCCTTAGTCAAGAAATAGGCATTCCATCGGCGCAAATTTGACAAATATGTTGTTCATTTCAATCTATAATTAACACTTGCAAAATATTGTAAACGTGAGAAAGTACACTATACGGTATACGTGCTTTATACATTCATCAAAATTATTAGAATCCGCGGAAGTTTTAGATTTTCGTATAAAATAATTGAAAGTGTTTTTATTTGTATCATTGCAGTCGCAATAATATAAGTATATGCAGTCATGACGTATTTACATTCTTTTAAACTTCAAACGACGAATCAAACAATAAATTTTCTAAAATTTGAAAAGCCGAGTGGGCTAAGACGCAGCGGAATAATAATCCACACAGGGGTCCGAGGTACGAATCCCCACCAGTGACAAAAAACTCATATAGGTGTTTTCAGCAATATTTAATACGCATCAATCTTAAAGAATAAGTTCCGAATATCCAATTTAATGTGCAATACAAAAACGATTGAATAAACATAAAGTAATATGTTTTATAGGGCTTATATTAAGGCCTTAATTTGGGAACCTTTATGGACCCCAACAAGGAAATCCAGAAAGGTCCCATCGATCGAAGGTGACCAGTCTGGTAGGCGTATGCCTAGATTTCCCTACTGGACCCCTAATAGAATTGGGGATAACTAGAACAGGCTAAGTAAAACCTCCAACTAAATATCTGCACGAGATCGATCAAGGGACACTTTTGCGACATCTCATGAAAGTTATTAATGATTGGAAGAGGAAGATAACGTCGCAGTGGATATTCTATTGAAATATAAGTTAATTCCATTGGTCGGCCTAACAAATATAGCACGTGGGTCTACTTCGTTCTTGTATATAGGATTCAGGGAGATTTCAAAATCCTTTAGTATCGTAATCAGACCCACAGCGACTTGCAGCAATCCCAATCTCTGTCCTAAAATAAACAACGTTCAATTACTCACATAATTATGATTTGATGAATCATTTGCTTACCAATGCAAATTCTTGGTCCATCTCCAAAAGGCATGTAGGTGCACGGTACAATATCATTCTTTCGCTCGTCACTAAATCTGTCAGGATCATAAGACTGAGGATTGGGAAAATATTTGGGATCTTCATGTAGGCCACACAGAGGCGTGTATATCACAGTTCCCTTTTTGATTACAATATCAGTTCCAGGTATCTAAAATTAGTAATTAATGATAATATCAAATATTCTAATACTGCATAAAGATCCCTTCTCGTACCTTATAGTCAACAAGAGCGACTCTATCCAGTATGGGAGCCGGTGGTACCAGCCTCAGTGTTTCTGCAATTGTTTGGTGCAAATATTTCATTTCCTGCACAGATTCGTACGTTAAACCATTTTCTTTTATTTTCTCTTTTATTTCCTCACGAACTCGTTCCTGTATCTCGATGTTTCTCGCTAATTCCAAAAGTGTAAAAGCTGTTGTCGTTGCGCTTGTTTCTAATCCGGCCAAAGAAAACATGGCTGATTGTGATACCAATGCGTCTCCTTCAAATTCTGTTAACGAAAATCAAAATTAATAGTACCTAAACAGCACAAGATATACAAATCAATGATGTAGTTAAAATCTTAGCAGACAAAGGAAAACCGTGTTGTACTAAAAGTTATTATAATTATCTTCAGTATAATTATAATATTATTGTTATCCTAATAAAAAATTGACTCAAACATAGAATCCAGAAAATAAATTGATTTCGTATGCCAACACCCACACAACACTGGGATGTTAAAAATATGTCATACAGACGTCGTCAATCCCCAAATGACATCTTGTAGACGTCATTCAGAAGTATCTTAGTCCCACCTCTAACAAATATAGCACGTGGGTCTACTTCGTTCTTGTATATAGGATTCAGGGAGATTTCAAAATCCTTTAGTATCGTAATCAGACCCACAGCGACTTGCAGCAATCCCAATCTCTGTCCTAAAATAAACAACGTTCAATTACTCACATAATTATGATTTGATGAATCATTTGCTTACCAATGCAAATTCTTGGTCCATCTCCAAAAGGCATGTAGGTGCACGGTACAATATCATTCTTTCGCTCGTCACTAAATCTGTCAGGATCATAAGACTGAGGATTGGGAAAATATTTGGGATCTTCATGTAGGCCACACAGAGGCGTGTATATCACAGTTCCCTTTTTGATTACAATATCAGTTCCAGGTATCTAAAATTAGTAATGAATGATAATATCAAATATTCTAATACTGCATAAAGATCCCTTCTCGTACCTTATAATCAACAAGAGCGACTCTATCCAGTATGGGAGCCGGTGGTACCAGCCTCAGTGTTTCTGCAATTGTTTGGTGCAAATATTTCATTTCCTGCACAGATTCGTACGTTAAACCATTTTCTTTTATTTTCTCTTTTATTTCCTCACGAACTCGTTCCTGTATCTCGATGTTTCTCGCTAATTCCAAAAGTGTAAAAGCTGTTGTCGTTGCGCTTGTTTCTAATCCGGCCACAGAAAACATGGCTGATTGTGATACCAATGCGTCTCCTTCAAATTCTGTTAACAAAAATCAAAATTAATAGTACCTAAACAGCGCAAGATATACAAATCAATGATGTAGTTAAAATCTTAGCAGACAAAGGAAAACCGTGTTGCACTAAAAGTTATTATAATTATCTTCAGTATAATTATAATATTATTGTTATCCTAATAAAAAATTGACTCAAACATAGAATCCAGAAAATAAATTGATTTCGTATGCCAACACCCACACAACACTGGGATGTTAAAAATATGTCATACAGACGTCGTCAATCCCCAAATGACATCTTGTAGACGTCATTCAGAAGTATCTTAGTCCCACCTACGGATATCTTCTGTTCGTCTTATGCACATCCTACCTCTCATTCATCGGATATATAACAACTATTTGACAATTTGATTCACATGATTAGGATATTCTTATAAGGTTGATGGCTCACTCATCGGCCATCTACCGGCACAGTCATTGGTTAGTTTGAACCGCGAGAAGCCGTCCTATGAGCAGTTCTCGAAGGCAACATAACTTAGGAAAGTTAGACGCGCTATACATGATGCGTCTGCTGACGGGTTACAACAAATTCAGTGAATTTATGCACTTGTTAAGAAATGCAGAAAATGAGATAAAGCAAACAACCTATTGACGATTACAGGCGTGGAAGATTCCTAAAAGATATCGCAGTCAATTATTATAAAATATTTAACAATAATAATTGGTAAAAAGAAGAAGGGACAACATTTTAAAGATATCACACTGCGTCATGTTTAAGAACATCTGCATAAGACGTCTGTTGGATGTATTACGCATGACATTTTTCAATCGGACGTTAGTAGGACATTGCAGACATAATTCGGATGTCGTTCGGATGTTGTGTGAAAAGAAGAATGGACATTTTAAAGATCTCACACTGCGTCATGTTTAAGAACATCTGCATAAGACGTCTATTGGATGTATTACGCATGACATTTTTCAATCGGACGTTAGTAGGACATTGCAGACATAATTCGGATGTCGTTCGGATGTTGTGTGTTCTGTGTTCATTTTAGTCTGACGGCAGAGATTGATTATACACGTTATTACTTACTGAAGTCCGACTTTTGCTCTTCATTTTTTATTTCTAATAAATTGTCTATAACGTCTCCTCGTTTCGAGCCACTTTTTTCACGACTGTTCATTGAATCCCAGAAAACGGTACGAAAATAATCCGTTTGTTTTCCCAACATAGAAGTTTCAATCACTGATTGAAATTCAGGGAAGAAAAAAACCGCAAATAGTTCGAAAGCACTTGCAAAACTTGTTTTGAAACTGTTGGTCCCTAGAAAAAAGAATACATATACATTTCTAATCATGACAGAGAGAGCTTTCCTTGTTACTATAAACCATAATCAACATCGAGAAAAACTGTGATAAACATGTAATTAGATGAAGAAATAAACGTTACATCTTGTCATCGTTTTTTATGAAAATATTATAGTTTTTCTTCGTCGAGGAATAATGTTATGATTTGAAAAAACGTCGGCTGGTTTCGTAGAGATAAAATCAAAAAAAAGTGTTAATCATGTTTCAGCTGCCAGAGGAATAACACCGCGTCATTCATGATGGGATTTATTATTATATCACATGTGTATCTGCTGAAATTACGCAATTATACCATATATACGATAAATATCCAAAATATATTTGAATGAAACACTTCTCACTTCAAAATTTGTTTTCACTTCACCATCTTTAATCTGATTATTGAAATAATTCTTCATATTCTCGGCAGATTGTAACATCAAAGGAAAGATGTAGAGATAAAATTAAAAAAAGTGTTTATCATTTAAAGTTATATCATTTTTCAGCTGCCAGAGGAATAACACCACGTCATTCATGATGGGATTTATTATTATATCACATGTGTATCTGCTGAAATTACGCAATTATACCATATATACGATAAATAAATAATTCTTTTAACTACTTTAATGAATTGGAACATTAGCTTCTTTTCACATGCGAAAATGGAATTAATTGAAACTATAACAAAATTATCGAAAACAAATAAGAATCCAGGATACTTTATACTAATATTTATGTTGTTAATGTATGAGACGTAAAAGCAAAGCTATAATCTGCTTCTTATACATAGACCTTGTTATCTATATCTTATATGTTTCATATTACTTCGTAGCGTTGAACAGTTTATCTTTTGCTAATAACTACTTAGACGTCGGAATGCGCATTAACCTTTAGACTGCCACTAATTTTTAACAAGATCAGGGTTCTATCTTTTACCAACATTTTATGCATGATGATAATGTATGAGTGTAAAATTCATGTTTTAATGGTCGAAAATTCGGTCGTTTAATAATTTTGATGCAACAATTTCTTAAACCATTTGTATTATCTCAAAAAAGGCATCTTGGAATTGAATAATTTTTCCTGTAATTTGTTATTATAGTACAGAAAATATCGTGTGAAGATTTGAAAAGTGGACCATTGAATATTTTTTGAACTAAAATTCATAATATGTGATCGCGCTCACGATTCGCGCGCTGGCGTCGCGGGCGAAGCAAGGATTCGAGCGTGCTTGGACAATTTCGAGTTATCCCACTATCTTTTGATGGATTTTTCACCTACTGCAGATGAATGATACTCAGGGAAATATTAAAAGGTTTCAGAGTAACACTGTCAAATAAAGAAATGATCATTTACTTTAATTACAATACTGATTTACATACAATAATACAGAAATAGTATTGTATATTATGCCACTAGGGAGGAAAGTGCCCGATTTTCGCCGAGCACGAGGTGAAAATCCGCGTTCCTCCCATGTAGTGTATATTACTTTTTACCCGACTATTTTTAAAATAACCATATTTTTATGCCTGCAACGGCACAACGCTACAATATACAGGGTGTCCCAAAATTCATGATAACCTCGACATAGCGAGAATCAAGTTCAAAAGCAAGTTACGTAAATGACCTTCGTTTTGTTCAAAAGTGCATAGTTTTTAAACGGGAGCCGGTCAAAGTTCACCATCCAGAGTGTAGCGATAACGGAAATGACAAAGATATACAAACTCTGAGTTTTTTTCCTCGCTTTTGTTTCTCAGTCACAGTAACGACAGTGAAAAAGTGCCGGAAAAAGTACCGAAGAAAGTCCCGGAAAATGTACCGGAGAAACAATGAGCGAAGAACACCAAGACACCTAGGATATGAACGAGTTACGTTTGTACCCCTAAGACGACGGTGAAAATGCTTCTTTATACACGATAGATCTCCCGTAAATCTACCATCGATCTAGCGTGAATCTGACGTGGACCTGCACCAAGCCCTAGGATTATGATTGATTTTCCATATCAGTTCTAATCAGATCAATGCACAAGATAGTCCCATATTACACAATCCTTCTATCTATGAGGATGGGTTTAGATATTACGTGATACAAATGCACCGTTGCATGAATGTTTATCTTTATGTAATTACAGTCAGTACGTCTCGACTCAGAAAGGAATATTGTAGAGTTAAATTTAAGTGTCGAAGTGATGTCTGACTGTGTTAAGAGACATCGTGTAATTGGGACTTCGCATTCTCTGTTAATTCTTATCAATCAGCTAAAAACAAAAACCCATTGGGTAGTGTATTATCTAGCATGCATGGGGAACTGGCTTCACTGTGGTTACTGTGACTGAGAAACAAAAGCGAAGAAGAAAACTCAGAGTGTGCATTTCTTTGCCATTTCCGTTGTCGTCACATTCTGATTGGTGAACTTTGACCGGTTCCCGTTTAAAAACTGTGCACTTTTGAACAAAACGAAGGTCATTTTCGTAACCTGCTTTTGAACCTGTTTCTCGCTACGTCGAGATTATCATCGAATTTTGGGACAGCCTGTATAGGTGTAGGTTTACATCTCATTTCTTTTGTTTACAGTTTGTTACAGCAAATTTACTTTTTTGCCCGCAAAATCACTTTTTCTTCCCTCTGGTGAAAAATTGATTACTTTTCGCCCGCGTTACAGGGATAGAATATGTTCATTTTATCTTACAAGGAAACCCCCCAACCCGACCCCACCGATTTCAATAATTTTGTGATATGTTGTAGTACTCGACAAAATAAGAGACACGTATTTTTTTTTGTGTGCTGACATCCACTTTAAAGGGGTGAAAACGACCCCTGAAATTCACCCCCGAAAATCGTTTTTTCATCATACCTCGACTTCTAATTAATATTTTTTAATAAAACCAAGTGAAAATATTTGTCATAAGAAGTCGAAGATATGAGGTGTGTTTATGACCCAAGGGGTTACAACCCTTATTTTATATTTTGAAAAAACTATATTTTTTATGCTCTTTTTCTGCATAAAAACCGGGGTATGCGCTCAAAAAAATAAAGAAAAGCGTTTCCGTTAACTCCATCAAATATTTCAATTTGGGTGTTTCAGGATTTTTCAAAGGGATAAAAACCACCCCTAAATTTTACCCCCGAAAATTGTTTTTTATCATATGTCAGATTCTAATTGATATTTTTTAATAAAACCAAGTGGAAAATATTTGTCATAAGAAGTCGAAGATATGAGGTTTGTTAATGACCCAAGGGGTTGCAACCCTTATTTTATATTTTGAAAAAACTATATTTTTTATGCTTTTTTTCTTTATATAAACCAGGGTATGTACTCAATATTTATTAATATTTTTTAATGAAACTATGATTAAAAATTATTTTTATAAGATTTATTTCTTTTTCTTCTCTTTTTATAATTAATTGTAAGTCACAGTATTTTATTCTTCAAAGTGTTGACAATAATGATTATCTTCAAAAAAGTGCTTAAAACATAAAGACTTCATTGCACTTGCAACTCCTTCAACTGCTAATGTTCTTCCAGAATGCATTTCTAATTGGAACCCACTCTGATCTGAATTATATAAATTTTCAATTCCAATTGATGATATAGAAGATTTCACATCAGCAACAAACATATCAGCCATCATTTGGAGGCCTAAAGTATTTTCCAATGTTTTCCTAGTAATAAATTTATTTATTTTTCTAGACACTATTCTGTGAGCCTTTTGGAATTTCGCTAACCAATTTTTAGAAGCTTTAAATCTTACATCTTCAGATCCAATTTCTTTTTGAACTTGTAAGGCCCATCTCCGTATATCGTGATCGTGAATAATTAAACCACTTTCAACAGCAGCTTTAAAATTATCAAGTGTGTATTGACAAATCCGTGCAATTTTTTCTCGGTACGTGCCACCTTCATTAATATTGTGAGCTCAACGTTTGAGCTGACTGATTGATGAGACTTTTCTGAATCTTCTTTACGCTGTTTCAATACTTAAGTTTTCTTTTCCCACTTCTCCAATATTCTACAGCTTTTTGTTTGTAATCAAAATTGATGTCTTCAGTATCTTTCGTACACTGATTTGTTGGTGCAACGTCAGGATCAGGAAAATGATGTTGAACTTCATCCTCAACTATTTCAGCATCACAATCCTTATATTCTTCCTCAAAATCCAAAGTATCCTCAAAAATCGTATCAACTTCATTGAAGTCATTTGCTGCATCGATTAATATTTGTTTCAATTTTTCTGACAACTCAATTTCTTTATATTAATGTTCTTCCAGAATACATTTCTAATTGGAACCCATTCTGATCTGAATTATATAAATTTTCAATTGCAATTGATGATATAGAAGATTTCACATCAGAAACAAACATATCAGCCATCATTTGGAGGCCTAAAGTATTTTCCAATGTTTTCCTAGTAATAAATTTATTTATTTTTCTAGACACTATTCTGTGAGCCTTTTTGAATTTCACTAACCAATTTTTAGAAGCTTTAAATCTTACATCTTCAGATCCAATTTCTTTTTGAACTTGTAAGGCCCATCTCCGTATATCGTGATCGTGAATAATTAAACCACTTTCAACAGCAGCTTTTTTGTTAGTCAGGTAAAAATAGTACATTATGCAACAAGGGAGTAAAGTCGTGGATTATTCTCGCGGGTGAGAGTTTACTGCCCGAGCGAAGCGAGGGCAGTAAATCACCCGAGGGAATAACCGATTTTACTCTCGTGTTACATACTGTAACGTGGCGTCCGTGGGACGGCCAGTTACATAAAAGCGTAGGGGCACGGAGAGCCGTGTCGCCAACGAAAGCCGCCAAGAGAATGCCGATGCCGACGAAGATTCATGGCAAGGGGAAGCCGGGGAAAGAAACCGGCACCGCCGAGCCCGGAAATCGGGCGGAACCAACGAAAGCCGCCAAGAGAATGCCGGTGCTGACGAAGATTCATGGCAAGGAGAAGCCGGGAAGAGAAACCGGCACCGCCGAGCCCGAAAATCGGTCGGA